AACGCGGGCAGACATAACCATAACTGAGTGTATTGCTGAGTCCATCGGTGTTATGTTGACAGGTGTTTCTAATGCGAGTCCTCGTGCAGCACAACGAGGGTTTTGTTTAGTGTTAAAGTAAGATGGTACATTATTTAGCCTGCTAGCAGTGTTGCTTGTTATCCAAAGGCACGTATTGCCTGATTAGTCTGCTCTAGTTTCCACAACTGGACCAGATATGTTGTGATCAGATAGGGTTTGCACATTGTTGTGACAGGGAAACGTAATGTGGGTGTGTGTCATAAGTAGGGCAGCCACTTAAGGTTATTTAAATTATTGATTGATTCACCGTATAGTCTATTATAAGTGAAATAAAAGAATATTGTAAGGGTTTGTTCAGCCATCATCCCAACAATCATACAAGCGGCATATCCTCACATTTGATCAGTTGGAAGCTGGAGAGAGCGATGACCCCAACAGTCCTCTGTGTGACCCCCTCCGTCTGTACGCCACCGCCGGCTCATTTGCTCGTTCATGACAATACGGCAGCTTGATTTGTAATGACTGTGTGTGCTGGTGTGCCTAAAGAGCAACACGGTTATTATGTTCAGGCCCCGGTTTTGAACCAGGTTACTTGGATCTCGTGTGTAATCAGCTTTGGGGTTGCAGGAGTTTCCCTCGCAAAAGACTCGCTGTGGGATGCAGAGCAGGTGAAGGCTGCCGGGGTGACCCCCAGGGTGAACAGTCAACAGTGCTACAGCTGTGTTTGGGCATGTTAACCATTCCAGACGCATCAACCTCAACCTGGTTGTGCTGCAAGTACAAGGTCCTTTTTAGAAGTGTGTAGCCTGGCTGTCTTTACCAGAGCTAGAGAGGAAGTGGGTCAGGAAGCAGAGGGAAATAAGCACAGGATGTGATCAGCTGCATCAAGGAGCACTGATGTGGGCTGTGGTGAAATCACAAGTGCATTTTTAACAATTTTGAATTGGTTTCAGGTCAGGAAAGATCATACAGTTTAGTATCCAACGTATTCATCACATCCGTTTCATCGGTGTTGTTGGGGGTCGGGCTAAGTCCAGTCCTTGTTCATCATTGTACTGACATAGTTAAGAAGTACGGGTTCAGGCTTGTGCTTCCTTTAAGGAAGTGTACTTTAGATAGAACTAGTTTAGCAGCAGCTTGATATATCTCCCCTGTTAACAATTAGTTCTCGTGTCACGCTACTGAAATAATCATGTGGGGAAAAAGCTAAATATTTGGTCAACAGTTTGGCGTCTTCATCTCGGTTGGACTCAAGTAGTGTATTCCTTCAACGTGTCAGAAATGCCTCCGTTTGTGTCCAGTCCTGTCTGTCCAAGATGTTATCTCAGTCGACTCTTTAAACAGGACTTCCTGCCAGAACCTCTTGGAGTGATTATAGATGTACATCGTGGCTTTACCTTGCTGCAGTTTCTTTTTTCCACACGAGATGACCGGTAGTTATTTCTGAGTACAGGTGAGAGGAAACATCTCAATATCCAACCACCTGCTCAGCATATTAGTGTATATTTGTTTGGACCACCGGACTGAAGATGAAGAGGATCACATAGCACTAATCCATATTTGGTTAAAAACAAATGCATGGCCCTCGGACAGTGGATGTTGTATTAACTAGAAATGTTTAAGAATACAAGCCATCACTCTTTAATAAGCCGTGATTAAGTATTAAAATAAACATCTAAATAGTTGTCGATCTGGGCTTGTCAGATGTTTGTGAGAGTGTTTGTTTTACACACAGGGTAAACTATGATTTCTTCCCCTTTCTTGTATCTGTTATAGAGTTTTTAGAAATAAGTTTGCTTGGAATCAAAGAGGAATTTCTGATGCCCTGTCCTCCACAAGCCTCCTCCAGCTTTGTAAGGCTTTGCAGTTTAGCAATTGCAAATAAACACACACACGCAGACTAATACCATTTCTTCCACTGGTCTTTCCCACCACAGCTGACAACATCTGTTGAAATGGAGCAGTGGTTTGTGCATTGCTCACTGGGGGAGGGGGAAGAGGATGATCGGGAAGAGGAAGAAGGGACATGCTATGTACTCCTCAAGCTGTGCCATTTAGGAGTTCTGCATTTGTCTTCTTGTGGTGTATGTTGTGTTGATCACCTGATGGGAAAGAAGTGAAAGCTTAGGTAGAGTAAATGTTCAGGTTGTAGATGCTAAAGTAATCCTACACTCGCCAAACTAGAGTGTTTCCTGTGAGTCATTTTATTGGACTTAAAAGTGGTCTTTTTTTAAACCTTGACTTTTAGGATAGGAAGTTTAGGAGTGAGTCTCTTTACGCATGTTTTTAGTGCACGTGAGCGTGCCCCACTGGCTAGCTCATGGCCGCCATCCCCCCCAGCTAAACACTGTTAGCTCTGTCAGCATGTTTGCCATAGTTTGTACTGTTGGCGCTGTTAGCACCGTTAGCTACGGGCCCCCGGCTCAGGCGTCGCCATGTTGAGAGGCAATCAAAATGCCTATCTCATATTACGGACCTTTTTAATTCTCGCTGTTGAAATCCTTTCATCTGTAAATACTATGCTATTAATGCATGTATGTAACCGTTGCCTAGTCAGAGAAGTTTGATTGGATCTGGTAAATGGCTCTGTCTGTGTTATCTAGCATTGAGTGGGACTTTGAGCCACAATGCTCCCGTGTCTCATTTCCTATAAAGAATACAGGAGAACATTCCTTGAAACACTGGTGCGTAATTTGTTCCAGTTGTACTCCAACTGAGCAGAGCACAGGCTGCGTGGTCACTCGGGGTGGGAGAAAGGTGAATAGGCAGCACCTTATCTCATTGTTGCAAAGAGCAGTGGAATGTAGCTGGAATCTGATTACAATGGTGGTCCGTGGCCTTGGTTACAGGAAGGGGATTTAGGTGGTGTCTCATGCGGTCTTGATGACAAAAGGCAAAAGGCAGCCAGTGTATGTGGAGCACTGAGGCGACATCACTAGTGTGTGTGTGTGTGTGTGTGTGTGTGTGTGTGTGTAGTGGCGGCGGCATGGGTAGCAAAGTGTGGGAAAGAAAAGTCTGACTATTACTCGCTGTTAAGAAACTTTAAATACTGTAGATGTACTCGCAGGCAGTATCCACCATGTTGTCGGCATATTAGCCGTCCCTTTGTTAGCGCCTGCCTTGATGACGCTAGAAGCCACATAGCAAGGAGGTCGCCATTAACAACAATGATGAAAAGCACCAACAAACAAAGGCATTGCAAAACTGAACATGTAGCAGATACGACTTGTTGAGAAGCATGGTTGAGCCCTGGTTTTATTTGCTGATTGCGTGCGTCCGTGTAGGGCTTTATGTGACCAGTGATCTCGGCTTTGGACTAATTAATGGCTCAAGATGAGACAAATGTTGGGTTGTGATGAACTTGACAAATGAACAGATGAACACAGAATACTCTTCCAAACAAGCTTCATGTTGTAGTTTCAAGTGGTATTGCACAAGCAACAGCTGCTGTGTTTTTAAAAAAAAAAAAAAAAAAAATTCTAGTGTGAAATGATCAATTAGTCGAACATTAATTCTGAAAATCTGTGGTTTTAGTCAATTACCAAGGTTCATAAAGCTTCTTTTGTTTTTTACCTAATTTCAGGTTGTACGTGTCATTGCCTGTGGCTTAACCTTTAAGGCGGTGGGAGGACTCGTGGGTCTTTACTGGCGAGTCCAACCTGTTGTTTGAAACAGGTTTATTTTCTGTCAACACTACATTCAGCAATACACATTCAGGGCAACAACCTCAGGATCTCAGAAATATGTCCACATGGCACGTTTGATGATAAAAAAACTTATGGAATAGTAAATGGAAATACTTTTGTGCACATACACCTTATACAGTAGTTTTCTAAAATAACTGTGTTGTGGAGACTCTTGAGGCTTCGTTGTAATGCTGCTCTTGCTCTAATTCTCCCGTCCCTCTCTTTCCTACATCAGCTCATCCTGATTTGTGGTTGGGATTTTCACGTTATGTCACATCTCACTCACCAAGCGCACTATAAAACACAGTGCATCAAGAGCCGTTTTCAACCCCACAAGCAAGTTGTTGAAAAGATATATAAGGCTGTCTGTACTCTGTACAGTTTGTATTGACCAACATAGTTCACTCAGAATCACCCATTATCTTTCACTTTTCATAATCCTGTTAGGCCGGTTTCCGGCACAAGGTAGAGTAGTCCATGCTCCGTATGAAGCATGTAGGGAGAGAGGATGGACCCGCCCCTCCTCCACTGTGATTGGAAGTGATTTACCCTAAACACACATGTCGTCGATGTGAGTGAAATGGACGTAAAGCTCGCAATTTATCTCTGCAAGTTGAAAATACACTGTGGAGGAAATACTTTAAAATCTTTGGAACAAGTAACTTAATCAGACACTTATTGTCATTCGTTCCCATGCATGCTGCTCAGAGTATCTCCCAAGCACAGTCCAGCTATAATGGATGTCATGATGTGTTCAAATTGTAAAATGTAGGTTTTTTTTTTTTTTTTTTTTTTTTTTTTTTTTTTCTTGCGAGAAACTTGAATAAATAGTTGTTTGAAGGAGATGTTTTCACAGCAATATAAAATGTATATTAGTAAGGGAATAATGACCTTTAACTACCTAACAGTAGCTCTAAGCAACTTATAACACATTATTGAAACTACCAATGCCAAGAAAATATACAATCTTTAGTTTTCTATTTATTTTAATTGTGTGTTTCTATGCACATAGCCATTATAGATGACACTAATAGCTTTCGGTTCAGTTCAGTGTTCACTTACTGAGATGCATCCTGGGTAAAGTGAGTGAAAAGGTGTTTGTTCTTCCAGTAATACATTCTGGCACACTGACCAAACATGAGCCCTCACTGAGATTTATTTATTTATTTATTTATTTTTTTGTAGCTGTTTTGCATTCTCATGTCGGAGCAAAACAATATCAAATTGGTGTAATGGAAGGCAGCCATCAGTACTGTGAGGTAGAGGCGAGAGGAAGACCATTTCATGGCCGAACACGGTGAGCTCAACGCACCATATCCTAACTGTGTCCTCAATGTAGGATTGTCTGTTGTTTCATTCTACTGACACACGTTACAAGGAGAAGGACAACCACATAAATTGTGTTTGTAGTCTTGGTATTTAAGTTCGGTCTGAATAACCTATGAAAGTGAAGTATAGCACTCAATCTTTCATAAGACCCGCACTGCCTGAGCAGAATTGTCCGATATAAATGGAGTTTAGGAATGCAGAGAAGGATGCTGAAAAGTGTGTCACACTGTTCCCTCTTCCTGTTGGTCATTTCCTCAGGCTGTGGGGTCCTCCTCTTGTCTCTGCACATCAGGGTCAGCTCTGCTGGCTCAGGAGGCAATAAGGTACATCGCTCTCCTTTTCATCTGATTGGCCCAACAGATTGCTGCGGTCTTTTCTTTTGCTTGAATTACAGCTGGACCAGTGAGCTGTGAATCTCAGGAGAGTGACACTGAGTAGCATAGCGTTCCCCTAAGGTGTGTCTGTCTGAGGCTGTCAGGCCGGTGCCAGCGTTTTACTGCCTCGACACGGCCCCTGTTGACATTGTTGCACGCAGCCGTGATCATTATGACGTTAATGTTTGGAAAGGGGGTGCGGTCATAAAAGCTGAATATCGGATAATTGATTTACAGGATTCAGAGTTGACTTTAATTTGGCTCCTGCTGTTATTTGGAGGTTTTCGTGTTTTTTACGAGTTTGTCGTTTTTTATTTTGAAAGATAATCATTCAGTTTTTATTATTTAAATTGTAACTTATTCATTACTGTGTGGTCCACTGGATGAGGGAAACCAGTCTTCTAGTGGTCAGTATAGATATGTAATTAGTGTTGAGAATGACTGTGTTCACTATTAGTTCCTGGTCTTTCTGTGGTAGCCGCAGGAGTCTAACAGGAAGTTTGCCATTTGGATAAGGCCTCTGCTAGTGTTGAGCAGAATGAATAGCCTCTCTGGTCACTGTGTGCTTCTCTTCTTCACCGATGGGTACAGGACGGCTCACTGTAGTTGGTGTCTGATGAGATGAGGACTTCAAGGACTTCATTTTTTTTATTGAAACAACGGCTGCAAAATGTGCAATAATCGCATCAAAGAATTTACAGCGATAACCCGTAAAAACAAATTTGCTCATATGTCGGCCTAAAAACAAATGAATACATATACTTTAGCCTATGCCAACATGTAGGCCTAAAATGAAATACCTGGCTTTGTTGAGACAGTGTCTTTTGATGTCCTCCGCTAGCTTTCAGCACCCGGAACCACACGCACACGCGCAACAAATAGCGCTCTCCGTCGTGAAAACCCCCGAAATTTTATACTTTAGGCCATATCTCCCAGCCCTGTGCTCCTGACATAAATGTATTATTTGAATTATGGTAAATTCCCCAAATGTATACAAATATATGATTACCCTGCAAAATGAATTTTAATGCTTTTTTTTGTTTTTTTTGTTTTTCCTTTTCTGTCTTACCACATGTATCAGTTGGAATGGCTGCTAACCACGGTGAGCATCCAGTGACTCAGAAATGGTGATTTCTTCCTGAAAAGGATCGTCAGGATACACAACAAGGCTTACTCACAGAGACCCAGTGTTGCATAGTCAGCTGCGACCCAACCCCGTCTGCTCTGACCTACAGCGTGTACACCGAAATAGCCCAACCTTCTCTTTATAAAGGTTTTATATCCAAACTGTCAGTTTTGGCGATCTTGCACAGGACTTATTGGCATATTGGGACCAAACTAGTCCTGATTAGTTTCCTTCAGAGTGGTTGATTGTAACAACGGTAACGTATGAAGTTGAGCAGTTCCTGCTGTCTGTAGAGCTAAATCATAGTGTGACTGGGGATCTTTGTGCAGGCCCAGACTAACCTCAAGAATGCACTGATTGTTTAGTCAAGGCTAGTCACACTATTGTGGTGCTAAAACGGCACATCTTATAAAGCTCTCCTGCATAAAACAATGTACTATTCTGCTGCAAATGAACAGAGCCAAGAGCAGCCGGATAGCTTCACTGCTTGTTCTGTTTTCAGAATGGGAAAAGCTCCATAGCTTTCATGTGGGTTGGGTGTGTCATCATTAAGATGAGATAAGACTAGATGATTGGGTCAGCCTTTATTCAACAAACAGGAACTCACCTTAGCAACATCATCATGAAACTGTACTGCACTAGACTTGATGTATCACCTTTGGGTTTTACCAACATGGAAATACATGGTGGCTGTTTTTGAAATATTTCAATAGTGTGCCAAAAATCAGTTTTCATTTCAATAAGAAATGGGCCATGCAGTCGTGGTTTTATATCTAGAACGCTTAAGTAATTCTTCACAAGGTTCAGTAGTTGAGAGGCACCGTGTCCGTGCTCTGTAAAAACTCCAAATAAAGCTCTGCTTGTTCTCATCATCATCTTCCCATAGTTTGCCGATTGGTCGAGCTTCCAGCTGCCAAGCACAGTCCGTTGCCAATGGATGTTTTCCAGACTGAACTCTTGTAGAGAAACCTAAGCTTTGGTCTGGTTCCGCAAAGCGAGGAATTAAGTTCAACAGTTGTTTGCAATTTGACATTGTAAGCAGTCTTTTAAGACATGAGTTTGTATTTCTTCCTCTTGTATTGTGTTTCTTTCCTGCGGTGGGATTTCCCTGATGTTGCTAAGCAGCATGTCTGTGTTGCTAAACATGTCTTGGAGACAGATTGCGGCCAACTAAACAGCCAGGCTATTGCCCCGTGGCATAAAGTTCATTTTTGCTCTATTTTAAAAAAAAAAAATAAAAAATAAATAAAAGTTTAAACCTCTGACACAGCTGTGTCTCTTGTTGCTGGAAGTTTAATTCAGTGTCACCGTGACCGGTTGCAGAAAAGCATAGAAAGCAGGATGCCTGAGAGAGCAGTCATTGGACGTTTCTTCAGTAATGCAAACTGATATATTATCATTAATATTAAGGGAATCAACCCCGTGACGGATACCCAGGGGTCAGTATTGATGATGGGAACACGAGGCAATTACCATATTAATCATATAGACTGGCCCATTGCCACACTTTAGTCTCATGGAGTTGTGATCTGTCAATAATTGTTAAGCTCAAAAGCACATTTTCACATCTTAACCCAAATTGAATGCAGTTACAACAGAAATGATCACACTAGATTACATTTCTTTCTTCTGATCATTAAATTGGCAATGGCCTCATCGGTTATTGCTTTGCTGCCACCTTTTTCACTCCTTCCCTTCTTTAGGAAAGCGCAATAGCTCCACCCAGGAGAACATCATTAGTCAACCAGTAGGGTCGAGCTCAGTGGACAACATTTAGCCAAACAACTAGTCAAACACTCGTCAATCAGTCAGTTTAACATATATGACAAATTCTACTTTCTACCAATCTCATGTAATATTTCCCCCCAATATCTTACTTTAAAGTTTTTTTTATTACATACTTGCTTAACTAAATCATGAAAAGAAGTGTGATGAGCAGGGCCACATTAAAGTACCATGGGCCCTGGAGCTATGACTTTATCAACAACAATATCTCATGACGGCAGTTCAATTGTGTGACTATTGCGGGCTGGATTGTTTATAGCAGATGCTAATAACGGTTGCATAAAAATGCAACTGTTTTAAATAGAATCATGGCCAATCAACAGCGTAAAACCTAGACATTTTCTAAAGCAGCAGCCGTTTCTGCTGGAATTTGACACCAGACCGTGTTGCTAAATCTGCCCCTCGACAGGTCTCTGTGTCTCTGATTTAGGCGTCTGTTCACACGGAGCTTCTATTCCACCACGATTATGACAAATCTGTAGCTCCGAAGTTAAGCAAACAAGCTTCGCTCCTCGTGACCAAGTTGTCCTTGTTGAATGTTGCCCCAGACTACTATTGCATTACTGTAAGGAAGAGCAACTTTTCTGTTCCCATTTTTGACTTGAATCGTAACTGATCATGTCAGGTTTTCTCAGCAGGGACTACTGCCGATGACATGCGGTGAAATTAGGGAATAACTAAGTTAACTTTTTGTGAGAGAATCAATTTCTTGCCTTTCAAATAAATGTCTATTTTTAACTATAATGTATCTCCCAAAATGTCTGGAGACCGTCTATAGTTGGATGTCAGTCCGTTGCTCTTGGTGTGCATCAAGCTCTCACGGAGTAATCAAATTCCGTTTCCTAGACGAATGCCCCTCTGATCCAGATAAATTTAGAGGATTTAGAGAATCTTATGTAACTCAACGAGAACTGGAAAATCCTCAATTTAGGGAAGATTTAGCCGAACTCTCGAGTATCATCAACTGGAAAAAGAAAATAGTCCTTTTAGCTCACTGTCTGTGTTTGGAGACATCAAAAATAAACAGTTGTAACGACTGACGTGTTTTACAGAGAGCCTGTTAGGACACTCTCACATCTCGACAGGAAGAACTTCCTGCTTGTGTTGTTATCCTTGTCCTGTCAGAAACTTGCCATACAAGCTTCTCTCTCACTCTCTCACTAACTCTCACTCTCTCTCACTCACACACACACACACACACACACACACACACACAATGGAAAACCACGTCCAAAACATATCCCACATCCTGTGCTGTGCTTTTATCATGTTGGTGATTCAGGCTGGCAAACTGTTGCCATGTGCTGTGTCCAAAAAAAAAGATTTGAGGAGCTCTGCAAAACAAAGAGCACTTAAGAGCTTTCGTCTTTCTTCAGGTTGTAGGTTGGATCGGACCTCTGTTTTGACCTTAGTTTATCTGAAGCTAGCCAGCTTTCCCTTATCTTTGGAAGTGGTCTGTTATTTTAAGCACAGCACGAAGACTTGCAGCTTTTGAATGGGCTTGTTTTCCAAAGCTCTCTCGTCTGCCAGCAGATTCTTGTCTTGGAAGATTTTAGCTGAACCAGCTACCAGGCATGTTTCTGTTTGTATTGGGTATGTCCTATTTTTCTTTGGAAGTAGCTCTTTGTAAGTGTGCCACATATAAAGCCCTTGAGTATTTCAGATGTTTAATATTTGGCACAACTGACAATGAAAAGAAACTGGCAGTGAAAAGAGTTATGAAATATCATCAAGCATGTTTTTTGTTCATTATTCATATGCTAGCATTGGAGCTAACCTAGCCAACAGGGAATACAGATAACATCACAACTGTTTTTATGCTATCAACATGACCTGTTGCTCGCACGCTTTAATGAAAGTTACCAACCTCGAGGACGATATTGTCGGCTCACTGTAAGGGTGCGGAAGAAGGTGTTTCTGACACAGCGGCCGCAGAGGCCAGGAAGATCTGAGCTGTGAACGCCACCATCTCGTGCTCTGAGATTCAACACGTCCACGGCGGATGGAATGTCACGCCACCTGAAAAATCCAGATGAAGCCCTGGACCACCCAGACGGTGCTGGCGTAACCGGCCTGTATCCAGAATGTCTCCCCGCTGAAGCTTCTTCTGATGCCAGCGGTGGCAGTGTGACGTCCTCAGCCGAAGCTCCACAGCACACTTTTTTTTCTGCTGCCACTGTCCCCCTGCAGCGGCCACTTAGCTCTACGGATCTTATCCATCAGTGTCGGTATTTCTGTCACTGGAGGGTCCGAATACCGACTCTTCCTCTCAATCCACCTCGTCAGGGCAGCGGGCCCGTCCTGCTACATCACCTGGTCACCAGCAGTCTGTTAATCTGCGATCTCCTAGAGGGGTAAACCCTGCGACATTATCCATTGTCGAGACATGTCAGTTCCAGGTTAACTTCTGGACATGGTGGCATCTAGTCTTTAGGCACCCTGCTATGAAGTCCTCATGTCCGGTCCCACTCCTGTGTCTCGCCGTGGCATTGGGCCAAATTGTGTCGCCGGCACAAAGGCATAACTATAATAAAAAATGTTGAACTGTGGTGTATTGCTTCTTTTAAATTATGATTGAAGGACCTCTACGTGCATGCTGTGTGATCACAGGGGGGAGGAGAACCCACACGGGGGATATTGGATACAAGTGAGTGTTGTTTGGGGATCATCCTCTTCCCCTATTCTTACCCAACAGAGGAATTTAGAGTAGTGAAGCAAAATGTAGAAATGTCTATCGGAGTAGCACGACTTTCCTTTTTAAAGAGTGTTACGATGAACCTGAACCATCATACTCTCACATCATCCCCCTTTTAGTGGATGGGATGTCAAATTCATATTCACAAGCTACAACATGTGTTGCTAATACTCTTCTTTCAAGCTGTCTGCACCGCAATGTAGCAAGTAGCCACGGTTTGTTACAGAACACCCTCAGTGAGAGTCGAACACGTGTCGTGGAAAAAGACTCGTATGATCTAGAAGCTTTGCTGCAGTTTGTGGATGGGATGTCTGTGTTCTCAAGTCTTTCAAGGAGTCTATATGTATATATTTGGTCATTTTGCTGTTCCTTAGATACCTGTTGTCTTAAACCGATGACGAGCACATGTTAAATCACCCTCTCTGCTCTTTGCACAGATATGAAACGAGTTGTACGGCAGAGCAAATTCCGTCACGTCTTTGGCCAGGCGGTAAAAAATGACCAATGCTACGATGATATCCGGGTGTCGCGGGTCACATGGGACAGCTCCTTCTGTGCAGTCAACCCCAAGTTTGTTGCCTTAATTATCGAGGCCAGCGGCGGAGGCGCTTTCCTCGTTCTTCCTCTTCAAAAGGTAAGCTTCTGTTGCACCATGTACCAGTATTTAATGCCACATTGGGTCAGCACTGCATTGTCGGGGCTCTAAGACCTCTAGATGGAGATAAATCATATGTGTAAGCATGTTTGCATATACGACTTCTTTATGCTACATCAGTAGCACACGGTGAGTACCTAACAGTCTATTAGTTTAACAGTGTTTTTAGGTAGTGTGTATTACTTGCCCTGAGGTGAAATCAGCAACTTTGTTTTGGCTTACTTTGGTTTAAATGTTTGTGCTTTAATAACGTGTTTTTCTAAGAAAAACAAAATTCTCAGTCTGGTGTCTCCTCTATACGAAACCTAAAGTTTTTAGGGTGAAATTAACATTTATGTTTAATAACAACTTTTTGAGATTATGCTCTTCACCTACAATCTCTGCATATTGGCTTGTTTTTGATGTGTTTTTTTTACCAACAGGCCTATCACACTAAAAACTTTGGCATTTAGAAAGAGAACTGATTTTAATTTGGTCTTTCATCTTTATTCTGGGAAAATGATGCATTAAAACGGTGTAATGCTAACCTTTTTTAAAGTCTTTTTCGAGTGCAGTTATGCATGTCATGTTTTTGTTACAGATGATTTAAGTGGATCAAAATATGTTTGGATATTTTTAGATTGGGGGTGAAATGAAATTGCCTTCACGTCCGTGATGACATAATGGGAAGGAAAGCCGTTCTCTCTGGGATCATACTTGGACTGAAGCTTTACGTACAGTAAATAATAATTGGCATTGAATGCTTTGCCTCTTAGAAGCAGAACTGTTGACACTGTTAGTGTCAGTGTACCTTGGCTGTTTCTCACACACCCTCATGTGTACAACAGAAACTTCCCAAAAGCCCCGGAGCGAACGGTCTCCTGATCCTTGCCTCCATATAAGGAGTCGCTCAACTCCATCTTGATTTACTTTTGGGTTGGGCAACACGGCATTTGAAGAGTGTTTAGCTGTAAACAAGTTAGTTGGGTGAACGCATCGCTCGCTTTTGTTTTAACCCTGCTGTCATAGTTAGTCTAATTAAGGTGCAATCGAGATCCGACTGAATCCAACGGGGGACTCTGGCATGTCCCCCAGAGAGCCCTTGGGTGCCATAGTGGTGAACTGTCAGTTGTTTCTGTTTGGCAGATCCTGACCTAGTGAGTGACATAAATACTGCGATATTGTTGACCTATCTAACCTGGGCCTGTAATTAGTGGGCACCGGTGGACTGCCATGTCATCTGAGAAGGCTCTGGCATAGGGGACCGGATCCTTAGGCCTGCCATCACGCAGCTTACACCTCTCAGCACGTCAGTCAATACAAAGCTTGTACTGGGGGGGGTGCCCTCCCTCCCTCCCTCCTCTCTGTGTCTGTATTTTGAATGATCTGCCCTCTGCATGTCACGTCCCAGTACAGTAATGGTGCGTCTACTAAACAAAGTCTACTTTCACTACTCAACTGAAAAGTTGTGAGACTGATGTCTTTATGTGCAGCGCAAACCTCAGGCAATTTCCTCAAGTGAGAGATTAGTAAAAAGTCTCTCTTGGTTTTTTTAGATCTTGCCACATACGATCTGGCAGCTGTGGCACCGACTGATCCTTCACATATAGTGTTCTCCTCACTTCAACAGGCCCTGCATTGAGACACTGGAGCTAAAAGGGGAATACCTTTTTTATTTAAGGATAATAGTTCTGTATGTCTGTTAATCTTTGGACAGTGTGACCAGTATGTATTGCTATCAAACCAGCTTTATATCCTAGCATATAAAGGGAGTCAGTTGTTGAGACATGGGTACAACATTGGGCGTCCCCTTTTTTAAAATTTTTGATTTATTCTTTTTCTTAACATCTATTTTTGGAGTTTATTACCATGGTATTCTCAGCTGGCAATGCAGGTCTCGAAAGTGGGACGAGTCTTGTTCTTTGACTCGACCACTGCAGCGGATCAGCAAAACAGAGTTGCTCTTAGCCCCAAAGATAACTTGTGATGAACTGATTAAACAAGGAGTATTATGGTTAAACTAATTATCTGTGAATCACTATGCTTTTGTTGTGCCAACCGTACGAATGTTTTACTTTAGTAGCTTTCGTCAGACACACGGTCTGATTTGAAGTACACGTGCAGTTTGAATCACCCGGGTCTCATTTCATTTTTGTTTCAAGGGCACCCATTCCCTAAAACACCCCCACCCTCCCTCATGTGAGGGTGCATCTGTCCGGCTAACCCATCTGCCCAGACTGTGTTGCTCCCGGTCTCTGTGGGCAGCCAGCTGCTCGGGGGCCTTTGTCCCACGCTTTCTCCCAGCGCAGCTCTTTGTCACCACCACACTTGGTGCTGGGGGGGAAGCAGTGTGATGATGCTCCTTCCCCCTTCACAATTAAGCCATATGCAACTGTGCGCCGTCTTTGTTGAAGTGACGCAATAACGTCAGGAGGTTGAATTATTGAAATGATGAGCCCACCCCCCCCCCCAGAAAAATCATTGTTCTCCCTCAGCCTGTATTCTGACAAACCTACTCGCAAAGCATCTCTTGGAGTTCAGAGGTTGATGTTGTGGCTCTTGTGACCTGACCTGAGGTCTGAGCCTCATTTTGAGTCGTCAACCAATGGAGCCATGTCTTTGTGTGACTCTGTAGGGAGAGGTTGCTGTGGCAGGCCGCCGTGACTCAGCACAGCCACGAGTATTGTTGCTTCCTCCTGTCAGAACACGGGGATTTATAGAGAGGGCATCAGATGTCCAGCTCAACACATGTCATTCCCTTGCCTCATGCTTTCAATCTCCTCCTTTCTCTTCCCTAGCAGGATGCCTGCTAATTTATTCCCTGATTTCCATATGAAGGAAGCTGTGGGAGTGAAAGCAGCAGCTAGCAAGTGTTCAGTGAAACATTCCTGATAATTCCTCTTTGTCTGCTGGCCACGTGAGAAGGGAAGTTTCAGTAAATCATTACAGTTGCTGTGGTTCATATCCCTTATTTGCTTTATCTAAGCATGCCATTGTTTAAAATTCAACGCCGTCTGTGCCGTTTTAGCCATCGGTATCTTTATTTTCCATGCAGACGGTGGGTTAGTCATTTTGTCCGTTGTTAGCATCTTTCGTTTCCTCTTTTGTCTGTTTCTTTTTTTTAAAGATTGAACTAAACTGCAACCATAACACTACAGAGAGCATTGCTTAACGTTGAAGGCATGTCCCACGTTGGTGCTTCAAATGCTGTGTGTGTGTGTGTGTGTGTGTGTGTGTGTGTTTTTGATTTAGATTCAATCCATCAATGCACCATTCATCCAGTGCTCAACCTTTGCTGCTGGTAATCCCTGGGTGTGTGCACCGTGACGCATTATTTCTGTTGTCTCACATAACCAAGCTGTGCTCTTGTCTCTGCTCACAAAAAATCGGCTGCGTGTTCGTGCTATCCAGGGTCCTTCTCCATACTTTGGTCAGTTTCTATACTGCTCAGTTGCCTCTGCCGCTCAGTCCTGCTGACTGCAGATTTTACCATATATGGTCATTCACTGCTCCCTGCCTGACAGCCTTCCAAGACCGTTTCCTCTCTGCCTTGCCATTGGCTGCTTCGTGCAGTGTCGGCACACATGTGAATTCTGGGATAGGCCGAAATATGAAGAGCGGCCAAGATTAGAGAACTGGGTTGAAGTCAGATGTTGTCTCTGTCACAGAGTCACTCACTGTATGCGAGTGCCATATTAGAATAATTGTTTTAATGTGATAATCGGTATGACTGCAGGAATACTGAATACTATTTATAATCCATTAATACAGAGCTGTGAGCCCTGGTAGCTTTTTAAGACAAAACAGACAGTAGGACAAAGCTATGCTACGTTTTTTTTTTTTTTAATGATGGCAGATGTTGTGTACAAAGCCATGTTCAGTCATTTAATGCATTTAAAGTCTACTGCACGAGAGCAATTCATTCACAAACTAACTGCCGCTGCTCACAGATGCACCAATCTGGCACAAAACATCTTTTGGGGTGGGCTGCCTTTTTATATGTTCTAATAAGTTCTTTCTAAAAATATCTTTTCATTCATATGTTTTTTCCAGTTGATTATTTTTGGGGCTGTATCACAGCATGCAGCGGGCAGACAGTAGGAAGATGTGGAGACACTGTGGACAAATGGCCGTCCTCCATAGAGAATACTCAGTGCAGTCGCATCAAAGAGGAGACAGAAGTTAATGACCCCCCCCCCCCCCCCCCCCCGATATTCATCAGAGGTTTGGCTTAGATTTTTAAAATTACTTGCGTGGAACTAATCACTAGACGTACTGGAAACACTGATCCTGTGTCAACAGTCATCAGCAACCTCTAGTCAGTAAAATATATTCTGCTGTAGGAGCATCTGAATACTAATAGATGTGTTTCAAAATATCAGCTGCTCCAAATACTTCCTAGCTGGCAGCAGAGCCACCGGTATAGTAGTAGTAAACAGCGGACTTGTCTTAGATGCTATCTGGAATTAATCTTAAGACTAGCCATGTACCAGAGATATACAGTACTCCAGTGTATCTGCAGTACATATCTGTATAGGTATTTCTACTTTATCTCTCTAGCTATATATAGCTGAGGTTGTAGTGTGTTGCACTGCATTGTTCCTGCCCTATCTCTCACACACACACACACACACACAGGCTTGTAAAAGTGGAAATTTCCATGGAGCAGTGAGCAGCAGTGGACAGCATGCAGACCCTTCAGTGTGTGCATGTGTGAATCACATGTTGAGCTGCGAGGAGAGGAAGTGTGCAGGCCTCTTGTTTGAATGAAAAGAATGTCCTCTGCTGCCTTGAGGGATGTCGTTCGTCCATTTTTCGTGTTTTGAATGTTGAGCTTTGTATCTGTCGCCGTGCGGTTCGGTCTCTGCAGCCGTACTTGTTGCTATGCGACTGTTTGTTTTCTAGGCATCAGACATTCCTTTGGAAGGATACAGATGTCTGTCGTGTAGTTATGGACATGTGAGGTGTTCCACTGCTGAGTTTAGCCCCTTTTCTGGTGG